TGTGTGTGTGTGTGTGTGTCGTGCATGTGTGTGTGTGCATGTGTGTGTGTATGTGTGTGTGTGTGTGTGTGCACTGTTACTCGGCTCTACCTGTACCGTTTTGTACCGTTTGTACCGTACTGTACTTGGGCCGTTTTGTCAGCATGTAATCATGAGCTTGCCGTACATCTACATAGGTGCAGAGATGCCGGCGTCCGCGATACCTACTTATACCTAAAGCTCGTTTATATGTACGCGTAATTGCCTCTCACAGAAGCTCGGCACCTCTCACAATGACTCATTGATAACCAGCAACCTTACTGACAACCGCCTACTCACAAGCATATGTAATGTGCGCTCGCCCCACCCACCTGACGCTGCTGTGTTTGTGTGTGATTAGCGGGACAGGTCAGCCATGGCCGGTGTCCACGTTCAACCGGATACCCATTGTCTACGGTGTTATTTTAATTTTAATATGAAAGCAATGCACGTATGCGCATGCAAAGAGACGTCAACGTATAAATAAAGACAGAGCGCGTGAACGAGAAAGAGAGAGAGAGAGAGAGAGAGAGATGAAGAGAGCGAGAGGATGAGCGGGAGGAAAGTAAGGGGATGGAGAGAAGTCGGAACGGCCGGATTCTTCTAATTTTCGTGCAAAGAAAGCCGACAGTGTTCGCTATTAAACCGGATTGGTTTTTTTTGTCCAATTTCGACTGAGTAAATAGCAGCCGGCATAATTGCGCCAATTAGGATCGGCGGCATAGATGATTCTATGACCCGCGGTGTCGTCTCCTCTAGCTTAGCGTGCGTGTAGATGGGTGGGTCTGTGGGTGGGTGCTCGGACGCTGCGAAGGGGAGGAGGGTGGCTCTAGCTTAGCGTGCGTGTTGATGGGTGGGTCGNACACACACACACACACACACACACACACACACACACACACGCGCGCGCGACGAGTAGTAGTAGACGTATATATATATATATATATATATATATATATATATATATATATATATATATATATTAGAAACGAAACTCAGCGTGTACTTGTCCTACATCCATCCACCTGTTACGCATTTAATTACCATGTGTAACTAAATAGAAACGCAACTGGTGTTCATTGTGTTACATGTTGTCATATCTATTTTCATCACGGAACTGCAGCTCCGCATAATATATTAATCACGGAAATACAACATGAAGTGCTCATTCACTACGTTGCTGGCTCAATACTAAAATACTAATGACCATAATGATACATGGCATTGATGTTTCGCCGTGAGTACATGCGATTATGAGAGCATTGAACCTGTGGTATCGACGACCTCACACGATATCGCGTGCAACATATGAAGCTTGGGTAGATCCTCCTAACGTATAGTAACCATAACAAATGATATAGCAGCGAATCCGCACTATATGGTTTATCCTTGCTAATTTAAACGTAATTATATGGTTGCGTCTGCAAATATGGTAGGAATTTTTTCAACACATATTGCTCGGTACACAAGGCGGTACGCTGTGCACGGTACTCCGTAAATTGGTCGGCAGATTAATATGTTATTGAAGGGATGGCATCAGAGACAAATACAGTAACTCGGAAAAAGAGAATGGGACATTGTTTTGAGAATATTGAGGCGGACACTAGAGCAAAGCTCTAGCAAAACTTATCAACTCCACTTGGACACCAATGCCTGCTTGCTATCAATTTTTTTACTCTACTCTACGAAAGTTGTCAGTTAAAAATGGAATATCTCTTGAACGTCCTCTCCAAATCTACACTAGTTATATCGAATAAAATACGTCATATCGGCTAATGATCTCGTAGCTCTAGTACTATAGCCCTTTTTGCCACAGGTGCCCCTAGCTGTGGTAACAAGGGCTATAGTACTTGAGCTAATAACCTCGAAGATACCACAAACAAGGGCATACATCAATAGTGCTGTCCTAGTCAAGCGATGAGTTTACGGGGCCGCGATGACGCACCACGATGACATTGTATTTTATTACACTAGTTTGAAGTGTTGTTGTTTATTGGATAGAACGTTAAATTATGTTAAAGGGATTACGTCACGAATTTTCTATGGTAAAATTTGTAAAAAAAAAAATCCCCATTTTTACATTAAAAGTAAGAACTAAC